AAATTGTAGTGAAAGTTAATATCCTAAAATAATAAGCAAGACAATATTTGCACTAACAGCTACGTTAAAATAGTTATATGATTACATATACAGATACATATATGATTATATATACACATATATGATTATATGTACACATACATATATGATTATATATATAATATATATATATATACATACATAGTCTTTAATTCCTGCATTACCGGGGTAGATGAATTTGCTCAGTACTGATCGATTCCTGAAGCAAAATCTTAGAGCAGAGCATTCTAATTTGGCAGTATCAAACTTTTTTTGTCTATGGATATTTATAAGGCGTCCAGCCCAGTCAAGAAACCCATCTGTGAGGGTAGGAATGCGTGCATATCGAAGTAACTGTGATACAACAACACCTTCTTGTACCGTATAGCCCGCTGTAATTAATTGTGAATGGGTAATTCAAGGTCTTATTGTATATGTTAAAAATGCATCTGTCGTCTTGGCATATAATTTCGAAATTTAAGAAACAAGTACGTTGTCCAGAGTAAGTGGTATTGAGTTGTAGGCTGGGCCCATAGATGTTGCTGGCAATTTCCGCAAAGTTTCCACAGTTGACAATTAGAATATTATCGATATATTGGAAAAGATGGAAATGAAACCCCGGAGGAAGCGATACTCCATTACTGATAATGTGAGATCAGCAATATCCGGGCTAGCATTACCATCCATTGGTACACTCTGTATTTGTTTGAAAATGTAACCACTAAAACGTACGTATGTTTCCTCAAGAATGATACGAAGCATCGCCTCAACTTCGTCCCTGGTGTAGGATATAACGTCACTTGGGAATTCGTTAGCATACCAGGTTTGGGTTTTACTTAGACCAACATATTCTTTACCCGAATTGTTGAAGCAAAAGTCAACAGAATAGAAAAGGTTGTCAATAATGTGAGAATGCGGCAGACTGGTAAAAGGTTGCTGAATTCTGCGGTGTATAAATGTCCCATCGTCCTGCCTAGTGTAGTGAGCTTCTGCACCACTGTTAGTGAACTGTTGATGCTAAAATAAACGGGCCGTCCATTGCGCGTAGTTGTTTAGATGCAGTAATTGCGGAAATGAGTCTTAAAGTGAAATAAGAGGCGGTGCGTAGTAATGGAGAGGCTTCGGAGGGATGATTTATTTGCCGCAGCTATGAATCTATATCCATGGGGGTTCTTATGAAGCTTTGGAACAGCGTAAATGAAGGGGATGGATGTATCATGATCGGTGGTGCGAAGCTGAAATTTACTCAAAATTTTATAGTGGTTGGTGACCAGGTCTTGAACCGAAAACGGCACCGGCCTGTACATACTATTCCCTTGAATGTGACTGAGTGTAGTGAATCCAAGCTCATTAGAGTGCAGCAAAGCATAGTATTTTTTACATATAATTATGTGGTTATTTGGCGCCTTGTCAACAGAGGTTATGACAAATCGTCTGTGTGCCCCACGTAAGGCTCTGTCAAAAACAATATTGACTAAATTGGAAGGATAACGATTAGCGGTTCTCCACCGTGCTACAGCTAATATCCTATGCTTGAAAATGTCATATTGGGGAAATGTAGTACTGGTCCGGCTTGTCATAACAGAGACAAAGGCGTCCAAAGCATTGGAAATATCGGTTATAACTTCGCCTTCGGTTTTAATAGTAGGCAATCTGAATTTCGTGCCCTTCTTCATAACACCTCTTAGTTGACGGTTACGGATAATGTCCAGGTTGCCTGTTACGATATGACCGGCGGGTTCGTAGAGGTAAGCAGAATGCGCGCAATGACAAGGTGAAGATAATAAGTTAGCAAGCTCCACAGGTCTGTCACTAAGACATCTAAGTTGGTGTAGTTCATAATGCGACAGCTTATAGAGTTCTGGTATGTGAAACTGACAATGACACGAGGAAATCGATGCGTTAAGAATAAGCGTCTTGCCAAAGCGTCATGAAAGACGCTGCGAAGATTGAGATTGATGAATGCGTTTCCCGTACAAGAAAGAGTGAAATAATTTATGTTTTGGTGCATGTTCTAGAAAGCATGCTACATGTGGTTGGAGTAGCCAAACAACTACTCCCTAATGTATGTGTGGCTAATAGTAGCTAACACAGAGAAAGGAAGAAAGATAGACAAGAATGTGGGACTAGAACATATCGAAACACCACAACGCCACAACTCGGAAGTGGAATGAACGAACAACCTTGCTCAGTGAATCGCTCATTCCTAAGACGCACAGCCAAAATGTTGCCATCCGTGTTCCAGCCCATCCACTCAATCACACTTCCCAGCTCACACGGTCCGAGTTCGAATTCAGAACGTCTCTGCCCGTTACGCTCATGCAGAACGATATGACGGAAGCCGTCGCGCACTGCACTCGTTGCAATGAGATTTCCGGTCGGCCTGAAAGATGGGCAATCTAAATCATAATACAGAATAGCTCAGTGAGGAAAACTCACCATGGAATATGCCACAAAATACACGAAGATGCCTCAACAAACCCTCAAAAACGCCGAAATGGCCTAAGCGAAGGTGGGACGGGCCAAACAGAAAGTAAACACAAGCTAGAATAGGCGATCAAGTAAGTAAGAGACAAAAACAGCGCCAAATTAAAAAATAAATAGCAACGCGAACCAGATTAGCAGGTGCGATCATGCGTTTTGCGCAATTCAGCCCATCGAACGATTGCCTATTGATGATTTTCACTGCTTCGTACTTTTGTCTATGCAAAAATAATTCAAACATTGAAAAATAGTTAAAAATTTCACACACTAGCGCATGAAAGCTGAATTCGGAACCTTGAAGGGTGAATATTTTTCCGTGATTCCCGAGTTAATAGTTTACCCGCCAAAATTCTCACGAGCCCGTAGGTGATACTTAAGAACGAGGGAACGCTGAATTTGAATAGGCAAGGTTGAGCGTGGGCAGGGGGTTATTACCCTAAAATTTC